TTCGACGTTATGTAGCGCTGCGTAGGATAAGGAATCGATATTTCAGAAATTTTCAATTTAATGATTCATATCGCTTCAAAACTGCAAATAAACATCACCACTCGACTCAGCATGGTCGATTACATATATTTCGACGCTTTTTGAACTGACCTAAGGTCAGCTGGCCGAAATCCGAGCTTTCAAGAAAACGCTTATAGCTCCTAAACAGCACAAGCTAGAGAGCTCGGCTTTGTGTAGATCGACCGAGAACCATTTTCTCTATCAAATATATGTCCAACGACAACCCTATGTTATACGGAATTTCGGCACTAAGTGTACTTCAAAAAGTTTCACAGATAGGTGCCGTCAGACGTCGGTGTGAGGTCGGTGGATGTTACAGAAAAGCATAAAGTTATCTTTCTCTTAATGACAACGAAAACCGCAGGTCTCTAGCTTCTTCCGTTCGGGAGTTATTTAAGCTACAACCGGGTGCATTGTTCATTGAAATGGATGCTAATAAATAGAAATATTCATAAAATTAGTATTACAGGTTATTGGTAATAGGAATCTACAGAGTAGCAGTAACAGTAATATACCACTTCTAATGTGTATAGATGTTGAATGAAAGATTTTTATTTAAACTTTTTTACTTTCAGATATATCCATTGACTTTATTTCAAATGACAAATGAATATATATATGATGTCGATAATGATTCGTTAAACCTTGAAATAGATGAATTATGTTCCAGTTTTCAACTGTACAAGTTTAACTACGATAAATACTATTTAGATTCACATTTTCAGAAATTGTTTAACGCTGTTGATAAATGGAAACAAACAATGATAGCTCGAATAACAAAAATTCATGCTCAAAAACGCGAAGAAATTCGTCTCTGTCAGCAGCAAACAGTAAAAGAGTATGAGAAACAAAGGATAATACTAAATGAGCAATTTACAATACAAATGAAACAAGTTAATATTGAACGCAACGATTTTGAACTCTTAAAATCAAAATTAAAATTGCTAAAGGACGATTTAGGAGAAATGAAACAGGAAGATAAATGTAAAGCAATTCCATTTGATTACGAACAAGATGAAAAACGAATAAAAAATCAACCAATTACAAAAGGTATCTCACATATCCTGCTTGAGATCAAATAAGATCTCTTCAACTAAAACTCGTTTAACTGTTGTCGAAATGTCATATGAAGTTTATATAAAAAATTAATTAGTGTTACTCTTTTTTTTTTTTTTGATAAAATTCATCTTTCGTGCTACAAGAAAAATATATATTTTAAAATGTTTCTTTGCTTTCTTCAGGTTTATTCAAGCTGCAATCATGTCAAACATTTGAACTTGATACCGAATATACTATGATGGCATCTTGTGACTCATCTTGTCATCTCCTTCTTCATGATGGAAAATATTTGAAATTATTCTCTAGTGAATCACTGCTATCTAAACTTGATTTACAACTGCATGGTCCACAACAACCTCGAATAATTGACATGTATTGGTCTAATGAACTAGAAAAATATTTAATTCTTTATAGTCATTCATTATGGCAATTAGATTCTGAAATGTCATTTGAAATAAAAAAATTTTTTTCATTAGATGAAAAATACTTGTCATTAACGATTAATGGACAAGATTTATATTTGTTAAATGATAAAAATAATATTGAACGATGGATGCTGACAAAAGACACATGTCAACAAATGAGAATCTTTTCAAATTTTGAAGCACCGGCAAACAAAATTGAATATATTCGATCTTCGCCAATTTATTTAGGTAAGTTTATTTTTTATAAAATTATTTCTCATTTTTACATTCAAATCCAAATATTTTTTAAGTATCTATAATTCGTAATACGAATAATAATCGTCGTTCACTATGTATAAGAGATTTTTCAATGAAATTAATTCGTCGACTCGTCGCTGAATGGAATATCTATTCGATATCTTACTTTCGTGATCATCAGTGGTTTGCATCGACATGTGATTGGCGTCTATACTATTTCATTGACGATGATGATGATAATAAATTTGTTAATTTACATTACATTGATTATGGAAAATTTAAAGTTAAAAATGCATGTACAACAACATTTAGTAGTGGTTTGATTGCATTAAGAACAACATATCCAGCCACATTACAATTATGTAAAAAAGATTTAACGGATCAGTATTTTTGTAGTATTTTTTAAAATGTTTAGTTGTATTTTCACTTTATTTGTGAATAAAAGTCTTTGATTGATTTATAATCAACCAGTTATTCTTCTGTTACAAAAATCAGCATGAACTATTAAGAATCACAATACTTTTTTCAACTTGTC